CCCAAATGGCCACGGAACGCCCACTGGAGGGATGTGCTGAAATCGGGGGGGGGGGGATCGCATGCGAACGCAGCCACTGGGGCCTTCGGTGGAGTTCCCTATGGGGCCAGGAAGCGTTTGAGGGGTGTGCCGAGATGCGGATGGAACCACATGCGAACGCAGCCGCTGGGGTCTTCGGTGGAGTTCCCTATAGGACCACACCAAGTGTGAGGGGTGTGCCGAAATGGGCGTGGAACCGCATGCGAACGCAGCCACTGGGGCCTTGGGCCAGAGCTCCCTGCACGAAACGTGTGATGGTGTGTACCAACATTTGGGTGGAACCGCGTGCGAACGCAGCCACTGGGGCTTTCGGTGGAGCTCCTCATGGGGCCACAAAACGTATGAGGGGTGCGCCGACATGGGGCTGGGGAGGATGGAGGAGCGGGAGGGGGAGGGGAGGAAGAGATGAGAGGAGTAAGGGACGCGGGGCGCTGTCTCTTCAAAGCGAGGACCCAATACCACATGATGGTTTGGGGAAACGGCGTCAACATTGCAACGCCCAGATGTCAAGGACGTTGGCACGGGCCCCTGTGGCACCCCCCAACTGCGCGTGATCCCAGGCTGGACGCAGAGCGTGCGGGCGCAGGCCGCGCACTGCTGCTCCCCAGGGCCCTGCGGCACGCGGGCCAGCCTGCGCACCAGGCCAGGGCTCTGAGCGCCCCGGTCCCACGTCGCGGAGGCGGCACACGCCCCGGAGGTGCAGGCCAAGCGGTGCGGCCCGCGACGGCGCGGTGCGATACTACGGTGTGGGCGCGGTTGGGTTGCGACTATGACTGCACTTTTCTGGGAGGAGCCTCCCTGTTCGAAGAACAGAGAACTGAGGTCCGCGCGAATTTCTTGGATCGGCGCTGGACCCTCATCGCGCGGACCCCACCCTCACTTGCCTGAGCTGGGGCCCGCCCCCAACTCGGGGGCGTCCAAGCGTTCCCGGGACAGCGCACATCGCACAATTATGCTCACACCTCCGCCATACCCTTCAACAGCCAATGCAAATTGCTCGCGGGGGTCCCGCTCACCATCCAGATTCCCGCCGCGCGCAGTTTGCGTTGTTTTTGGCAGGGATGGTGGTGGGGAGCGTCCTAGTTCATGGTCGGTGGCCAGTGGGAAGGGGGAGGGATTCATAAGCCTTTCCCCGAGTGGGGATGATGTGGTCTGGAAGAGCTGGTTCTCTAAGCTACCTGCAGTCAGAGGGCCAATTCGAAGGAGAGTCCTGGGCCACGAGGCCGTGCGGCCGCCGGCACGAACATTTTTTTGTATAGGCCTGCACCCTGCCCCTCTCTCCCCCTGGCCTCTGGCCAGATTGGGCTGGTGTGATTCCCAGGGCCAGTTCGTGAGCACGCGCGCATGAACTGCTCGCACTATTCACCAACCTGCGCGCACGTGCCCGCTCGCCCACACGCCCTCACTCTACTCGGAGCCCCGAGCCATCATCGCTTTAGTCGACCCCGTCGTCGTCCTGGCTCTTTGCACTGCCTTACGCCGCAGACTCGCCCCTGACGTCCTTTGGCGGGGGGCCCAGGCTGCGCAGGGACGCGCCGACGGCCGTCTCCGCGAGCTGGCCCAGCTCGCGCTGCCGCGTGAAGTCGCGTGTCTCGCGTCCGCCGTCGGCGGCCCGGCCACCTTTCGAGTAGGAGATCGACTACATATTCGATTTAACCTAAAGCTGACATGTTCGTAATTCTAGGGCTGCGGTACGCGCAACAACGGCGCACTCCTCGCCCACCACGGCACAGCGCGACGCCTCTGCGGCGGTGTCAGAGAGCGCCACCTGTACACCTGCACCGACCCTGGCTGGGCCCACGTTTGGGTCTTGGGTCGGTGTGTTCGTGTGTGTGTGTGGTGCCGTCACGGCCAGGACGCATACACCGATCCCAGGCCAAGGATGGGCTTGGCCAGGATCGGTGAGGCGGTCGCCGAGGCACATTGCGACGCCTCTGCGGGGGTGCACGCGAGCGGACCCGGACACGCGCCGCGGCGGAAAGGGGGGCGCACGCAGAGCGGGTCACACCTTGGCTCAGTATACGCAGCCTCGGATCCATTGCCCGTCTTATGCCATGCAGTGTTGCGCCACTGGTGTGCCGTGTCCCAAATGTCGGATCCGTTGTTCGCATTCTTGTTCGGCGCCGTCCCTTGCAGTGCGATGCCTTGCCCTGATTATTATAATATTTGCCCATTTGGTGCCATGTAGAACCGTGCCCCGAAATCTCGGATCCGTGCGGTGAGGTGTGGCGCCGCCCATCAGCCGGATTCTTTCCTTGCGTGGAGCCGCGTGGTGCTGTTTTCTTAATCATCGGGTCTCGTGCCCAAACGGTCCACGTACGGTGCCGTGTGGTGCAGTGTAGTTCCGTGTGGTGGCCTGTTGTGTCGTGCCCCCATTTCTTGGATTCGGTGTTCATGTATTGCCAGGTGTTGTTGTGCCAACAGCATTGGGGTCTGCTGTCCGCGTGGTGCTGCGTCGTGCCATGCCATGCTGTGCTGTGTGGAATCGTTTTCCAGTTCTCCGAGCCGTTGCCCGTGTGGCGCCCTGAGGTGATTTCCTTGTGGCATGGTGTGATTTCGAACCACCCCACCCCCGTGACAATTTTGGCTCAAGATTTTGCCTCTGCTGAGCCTTGTGCAACATAAGGAATGCACAGGGAGCACTGCTGATACACGAACTGTAGACCAAGTTGGACTCCCGGGAGTCGGCGGCTATGATCCTCTTGCGATGGCCCTTTATCTCAAGGGCTTGACCTTCTGCCGCCAGCTCCTCCTCACATTGCCTGCATGGCCACGCTTCGTTAGTTGGTTGGTTGTCTTGTCGGTTGGCTGGCTGACAACTCCGCAGGCTGGCTTCTTGTCCAAACTGTTACTGGACAGTTGATTTGGGCTGTTTGCTGGCTGGCTGGCTGCGCACGTCTACAAAGATGAGTAAGTGATGTTGGCCTCGGGAGCGCGCTTTCACAGCATATTCCAGACACTTCGCGCATCCCCACCAGCCCATCCAGATAAGATGCCCGGACGAGTTGAGGACCACGACGACAACGACGAGTCAACCGCACATCCTTCGCGGAGGTTTCGCGCCACGAACCTTTGAAAAGCATCTTGCAAGCCTCTCTAAAGACCTCTTGGAGCCATTCCGTTGCCTTTCGGACGCTTTTGGGGTCCTCTGGGGCTCTCTGGGGGGCGGTCTTGGCGCCTTCTGGGGGCGATCTTAGGCCCCATCGCTCAAATCGGAGGAAGGCTGGAATTCAGACCCCCCCCTCGGACGAAGCAGAATTTTCTTGTGGGGCACTCTAAGGGCGCTCTTGGGGCGCTCTTTAGGCCCTCTTGAGCGCTCTTGGGGCCGTTGTTGAGCGCTCTTGGCCCCGTCGTGGGGCTCTCTTGGGCCATCGTTGGGTCATTTTGAAGTCTTTCAAGCCCATCGGAAGCGACACGACGAACAGGTGGCCCTCATTCATTTTTATACGGTAGGTTCGCGTCGTGTCGACCAGCGGCGACCCCGCCGCCGACGTTCAACGTTGAACGCCGACGGCGGCCCAGAATCGGTCGATGTTGAACGATCGGACGTTGCGGAGACGGCCGATCGTTCAAGGTTGAACGATCCAGCGCGGTGTCAGGAACCAACGCCAGGGTCGACACGGCACGGACCTGCAGTAAGTGTTCGTCGTTTTCATTGCCTCTCGGGGAGCACATTGGAAGGCTCGGAGGGCACTTGGAGCCGTCTGCGAGCGTTTTCGGGCTCCTTGGCGCATCCGGGACACCATCTTGGGCCTTCTTGGGCTATCTTGAACTATCTTGGAGGCAATCTTGCGCTCTCTTGAGGCCCTCCTGGCGCTAAGCCATCTTGGACGCTTCAGCTGCCCGCGCCGCCCCCCCGTTCAAATTCATGGGGAGGGGTGTAGGGGGAGGGATGTAGCCCTCACCGAGTAGGGGAAGGATGGTTTTGGAACAGGGACTGAACGAACTCGTTTTCTACCACCTCTGCCCACAGGGCCCGAGCACATTTCCAATTCAGCCGGATTTTTTGTTAGTTTCCTGGTCTGGAGAGGGGGCAGCCTTATTGGGCAGCGGCCGTGGGGTGGGCTCGTGGCCTCGGGAGCGCCAGCGCGTATTACTTTACTAGGGGATCTGCGGCTTCGGGGGCGAAACCTTGTTGTACGCTACCCGGGATGGCGGCCTCAGGAGCGTGAGCCTGGCGTAAATTTGTAAGGATGGTGGCCTGGGGAGCGCAACTCCTGCGCAACTGCATCGTGAGGTGTGAGGGGCTCGTGCTTCGTGGACTCAAGCTTGTTGCTATTTATGAGGGGTTGTGGTCTCGGGAGCTAGGGGAGCGCGAGTCTGGTACAGTTTATGAGGGATGGTGGCCTCGGGAGCGCCAACGTTTAGAGCTTTACGAATGCTTGTTGCTTCGGAGTCGCAAGCCTGTGGTACGTTTCAAAGGGTTGTCGCCTCGGGGTCGCGAGCCTGGCGTAATGTACGAAGGATTGTGGCTTGGGTAGCGCGAGCCTGGTGTAGTTTACAAGGGATGCGGCCTCGGGAGCGCCAACGAGGAGTAACTTACGAGGGATTGTTGCTTCGGGAGCGCCAGCGCGCAGTCATCTACGATGGACTTTGACTATGGGAGCGCGAACCTCTTGTACTTTACCAGGGATTGTGGCTTGGGGAGCGTGAGTCTGGCGTACGTTACGGCGAATTGTGGCTTTGGTAGCGCGAGCCTGTTGTACTTTGTCAGGAATCGTGTCCTTGGGATGCGGAAGTGATATCTTTTGCGTGTCCCAGCCCCCCTTTACCCAGAATTCAGAACACGTGATTTGAGGGTGGTTAGCGGCCGCTTTTCGGTTCACCCCCTCGCGTCGTCATCCATCATCGTTCATCTATAATCAACTTGGGAATTTGAACTAGTGCAGGGAATTGGGCCGCCTACGCTAAGCAGCCTGACGGCCCTGCAATGGGGCCGGAGGCTCCTCTTAGTTTTATCAATGCAGTCCGTCGTCTTCTTATGGTTCGTCTACGCCGCCTACGAGATCCGGTTATACCCTGTCAAGATATACGGAAAAATCATCCACGAATTTGATCCGTGGTTCAACTATCGGGCTGCAGAGTACCTTGCAGAGCACGGCTCGGCGAAGTTCTTCAAGTGGTACGACTACGAGTCGTGGTATCCACTCGGCCGGCCTGTGGGCACAACCATTTACCCCGGAATGCAGATCACGGCAGTGGGGATTTGGGAATCGATGAAAATGGTACCTGCGTTCACCCACGAGGTCGAATACCCTGGGTGGTTCAAGTCTTTCATGAAGAGCGTTCGTGGGATCCTGAAGAGGAAAGGCATGCTGTGGCTTCCGCCGACGCCCAAGGCGATCTCGTTTTCTCCTATGAGTGTGAATGACATATGCGTCATGATCCCAGCATGGTTCGGGTCGTTGGCATCGATATTTGGTGGGCTGCTGACATACGAGGCATCACGAAGTGTCAATGCTGGTATTTGCGCAGTCGGTCTCATGTCAATCCTTCCAGCAAACCTTATGCGCTCCGTGGCTGGAGCCTTCGACAACGAGTGTGTGGCGGTCGCTGCCATACTTTCCACGTTTTGGTTATGGACGCGATGCGTGCGCACACCATCATCTTGGCCATGGGCCTTTCTTGCGGCTATCTCTTACGTGTACATGGTGGCCACATGGGGCGGCTACATCTTCGTGATCAACTCAATTGGCTTGCATGCTCTCATGTTGGTGGCGCTTGGCCGTTTCAACTCGGGCGTCCACAAGGCCTACACGATCTTCTACATCTTCGGCACGGCAGGTGCTGTGCAGATTCCGGTCGTCGGGTGGACACCGCTGCGCTCACTGGAACAGATCGGCCCTCTGGGGGTGTTCCTTGGTTATCAGCTCCTGGCCTACTGTGATGCCGAGCGGCGAAAAAGCAACATGCCCGTCCAGGACTTTGTGCGCTTCCGCATCCGAGCTTTTGCCTGTCTCGCTGCTGCCGTAGTGATGGTAGCGTTCGTTCTGGGACCGATGGGTTACTTCGGCCCTCTGTCGTCGCGCATCCGGGGCCTCTTCGTCAAACACACCAAGACGGGCAACCCGCTTGTCGACTCGGTCGCAGAGCACCAGCCCGCCAACGCCGCCATGTTTGGCAGCTATTTGAACTGGCCCCTTGAGTTTGTCGGGTTGGGTTGCCTGGTTACCCTGTTCAAGAGGAATAACGCTGGTTATTTTCTTGCCCTGTATGGTTACATTGCCCAGCACTTCTCACTGAAGATGTCTCGCCTGGTCTTGATCTGCGGCCCTATCACTGCGATCATGTGTGCAATCTGGTTTGGTGCTGTACTCGATTTCATCATGGAGCCGTTCTTCTTGTTCTTGGGCAAAACATATCCTCCAGATGATCCTTTCTACGCCATCAATAACGGGCAGACGGACACTTCCGCCGACAAGGGTGATGTTGGCAAGCAACCGGCCAAGGGAAAGAAGGCCGCAGCGCCTGCCAAGAAGAAGAATGTTGCCAAAGCGAAGGTGACCTCTGAGGAGGAACTGTTGCTCCAGGAGTGGGAGGAGGAGTACCGCCCAGGGGGCATAGCAGAGTTCAAGCGAAAGGCAAAGATGGCATTCTTCAACTTTATCCCGGCTGATGCGTGGGACGAAGGGCTCGCTTGGAGGCACGCTTACTACCGAAGCGCAAGCGCACGTGGTGGCCGTGTTCTTTTTTCCCTAGTCATAATATTGTACCTGAGCTTCGTGAGCTCCTTCGGTGATTCAGCCGTCAGGTTCATGCAATATTCTGACTCCGTGGCGAAGCAGATGTCCAGCCCAACTATCATGAAACAAGCGCGGGCGCGTGATGGTAGCGTGGTGATCGTAGACGACGCCTTGCAGGGTTACGGATGGCTCGACAAGGAAACCCCGAAGAACTCGCGCGTATTTGCATGGTGGGACTACGGATACCAGATCACGGGCATAGGCCGGCGCACATCGCTTGCCGATGGCAACACATGGAACCATGAACATATTGCAACATTGGGAAGGCTCCTTTCGGGCTCTCAGAAATCCTCTCACAAAGTGATGCAGCTGCCTACGGCAAGTCCCGCCGATGTGCCAGCTCAGCACTCTTGGTGGCGAACGCCCGAGGAGCGCAAAGGAGGGTGTCACGGAGCGCCGTAACATGTGACACGATCTTCCGCGTCGCGTCGGAGTGTCCTTCCTCGTGTTCGTCGTCTTCTCTTTCCCTTCGTCTTCCTCCCTCCTCTCTTGGGGCCCCTCGGTGGCGGAGATTACCCGCAGGGCAAAAGCCCGAACGCGCAAGGCCAAAAACAGAATCCCACAGGCGCCGAGTACATCGCTTTGGCCTGTGGAGCGCGGGCGGGCCCAGGGCCACGACGCGCAAGGCCCCCCGAAAAGGCCCGCAGGCCCAAACCCGGGTCACGATTCTTCCCTTGGGCCCCTCCTCCTCCTCCTCCTCCTCCTCCTCCTCCTCCTCCTCCCCCTCCCCCTCCTCCTCCTCCCCCTCCTCCTCCTCCTCCTCCTCCTCCTCCTCCCCCTCCTCCTCCTTGCTCCCCCCGCCGCGGGAGCAGCGGAGCAACGGAGCACCAGAGCACCCGGTCGCGCGCGCTCCTGGCAGGGCCCAGGGCAGGGGCCCCGACGCGCAAGGCCGAGAAACCTACAGGCCAGAACCCAGGTCACGATTTTCTTCCTTTGGGCCCCAGGAGCTCCACGTGCCAGAACCCAGGTCTCGATTCTTCCTTTGGGCCCTGGAAGCTCCACAGGCCAAAGCCCAGGTCACGATTCTTCCTTCGGGCCCCGGGAGCTCCACATGCCAACGCCCAGGTCACGATTCTTCTTTGGCCCCCGGGAACCCCACAGGCCAGAACCCAGGTCACGATTTTCTTCCTTAGGGCCCCGGGAGCTCCACGTGCCAGAACCCAGGTCACGATTCTGCCTTTGGGCCTTGGGAGTTCCACACGCCAACGCCCAGGTCTCGATTCTTCCTTTGGGCCCCGGGAGCTCCGCAGGCCTAAACCCATGTCACGATTTTTGCTTTGGGCCCGTGGCCAAAAACGCAGGTCACGATTCTTGCTTTGAGACCCGGAAGCTCCACAGGCCAAAACCCAGGTCACGATTCTCCTTTTGTGCCCCGGGAGCCCCGCAGGCAAAAACCCAGGTTGCGATTCTTCCTTCGAGCTCGAGCAGCTCCACAGGCCAAAACCCAGGTCACGATTCTTCCTTTGGGCCCCAGCAGGTCCACAGGCCAGAACCTAGGGCACGATTCTTCCTTTGTGCCCCAGGAGCTCCACAGACCTAAACCCTAAACCCAGGTCACGATATTTCCTTTGGGCCCCGAGGGCTTCACAGGCCAAAACCCAGGTCACGATTCTTCCTTTGGACCTTGGAAGCTCCACAGGCCAAAGCCCAGGTCACGATTCTTCCTTTAGGCCCTCGGGAACCCCACAGGCCAACACCCAGGTCACGATTCTTCCTTTGGGTCCCGTGGGCCCAAACCCACGTCACGATTCTTCATGTGCGCCCCGGGAACTCCACAGGCCAGTACCCAGGTCACGATTCTTCCTTTGGGCCCCGGGAGGTCCACAGGCAAAAACCCAGGTCACGATTCTTCCTTCTTGGGCCCCAGGACCTCCACAGAAGCTAAAACCCAGGTCACGATTCTTCCTTTTGGCCCCGGGAGGTCCACAGGCCAACACTCAGGTCACGATTCTTCCTTTGGGCCCCAGGAGCTCCACAGGCGAAAACCCAGGTCATGATTCTTCCTTTCGGCCCCGGGAACGCCACAGGCCAAATGGCCCCGGGAGCTCCACGGGCCAAAACCCAGGTCACGATTCTTCCTTGGGGCCCCGGGAGCTCCACAGGCCAGAACCCAGGTCACGATTCTTCTTTCCTTGAGGGTCGTATCTGCTCTAAGTCAGTGTTTTTGCTAATTAAGATAAACAGGGCTGTTCTCCTTAATCAGCTGTAGCTGTTTGCCTTAATTAAAACGAGAGGTTTTCATGTTGTTCCATTTTTGATTATATGTTGATTTCCTGTTGTTCTATGTTGATTATATGTTGGTTTCATGATGGCCCTATCATGTTATGTTCTTCCTCCTCCTCTTCCTCCTTCTCCTCCTTCCTCCTCCTCCTCCCTCCACCTCCCCGCGGCGCTTCCTCGACAGGAGACGTTGTTTTTGGTTCAGCGAGCGCAAAAGGGGAAGCACGGCTTCCGATTCTGGGCGCAGGGGCGGCGCGCGTCCCACTCAGTGAAGGCGTCGCCGCTGGTTCGCCTGTAAGTCCCTCCCGCCGTTTTGGGCCGCCTGCATCTCCGCCAAGATCGCCAGCCGCTCGTCGACCAGCTTCTCGGCCCTGGGCCCTTCTCGTGGAGGCCAAGGCGGCAATTATGGACGCATTGCTGGCAGCAGCGATACCACCAAGAACCGCCCCGCTCCTGCACGTAGCGCCAGGACTGCGTGTCGGCCGCAGCGAGGGCGCCGCACGTCGAGCATCGAGCGCCCCAGGCTGCCATGGCAACTGCTATGGTGAATTCCTGAATTCGGGTCGGGCAGCTTGCAGAAAACTTAAAGCCCAAAACGGCTGCGGCGGCGAAGATGAGCATGAGGAATACGATTGGACAGTAACAGGCGGATGATGGGGCGGGGAGAGCGGGGAAGGAGAGCTCCGAAACGAGTCGGCGCGGCCTCTCCTGCGCAAGAGGGGGCCCCCTGCACAGGAGGGGGAGGGGAAGGCGACGTCTGTTTTGGATGTGGCTGGGGAACCATCAACAGATCCTAGCGAAAGGCTGCGAACCAAATCCGCTCATCAATGCGACGCTAACGCCCTTGGGCGTGAGTGCGCCTCCACGACGCTTGGTGAAGTGAGCGGCCGTGCCTCCGAAGTCCTCATCCCTGTAAGTCCAGGGTGTCTCGGGTTGATGGCACTGCAATGATTCCAAGCCCATCTCGGGCAATTGATGATGCTTCGGTCTGATGTGAA